CTTCCAATTGGCTGACAAGTTAGAAGCATTTCTACTATCCTCACAGTCCAAACACTTTTCTATTACATGGGAAACACTACATAACATTGTTAATAAAGCTACAGTCCTATCCTACGTTAACCTTTGACCTATACCCATGCCCTACGAAAATGATTATGGTTAAAACAAAAATATTTAATATTTCTGTTACCATGGATGCTAAGGCGTACAAACACAGTAGTTTAAATTTAATTTTCCGCTATTGATTTTCGGTTCAATCCAATGTTTCATTCAAATTAATTGCGTAATGTAGTCCAGTCAAATTACCGTTTGAAAGTATGGACTAGTTTGCAAAAAATCCGGTAATTCTGATTTTTTGCAGACTGAATTTACTGGACTAAATCTTTGAAAGGCTTTATTTCGGAAACGTTTGTGTCTACAGAGACGATTCTCATATTGTAGCAAAATTTAGTATACTTTTAAAACGCCTTGGGAAGATACTATTATAACTACTCCTTTTGGGTAATAATCACAAAAATCTGAAAAAGCTGAAATTTCACGGTTTTGTCGATTTTTTACATAATTGCGTTCCATGCTCGAGGTCATTAACTTAGATTTATTCATTGGGCCAAAAATCAAAACTACCGGACTTAACGCACACTTTAAAGTATTAATTTTACTGGACTAATGACCGATATTATGAGCTTCTGAAATTCTTGTGTCAAAGAGTAATCTGTGTATTCAACTTATGATACTGGGATACTATATTGTTATTTTATGAAATGCATAATTATATTTAAACCATAGATAAATGATTTAAACATTATCTTTCTGCAAACATCTTCGTATTGTTGATAAATCGTAAACATAGTCTTCAATCAATGACGTGTTATGAATCATAATTTAATTATGCGTTAATGGTTTTATACTGTTTTAACAGACGGAAGCACTTAATTGCCGTACGATAAAAGTTACCTAAATAATAAATATACCAAGGAAAACGGAACTACTTAGATAGATAAAATGATGTTACCCATAATGAATTTTCCATTGCAATAAACTTTCCATTACTTAAGTAACGCTACTAAATTACTTTGTTGAACATTATAACAATGTTTGTAAAAGGCTCTCAGATTCGTATGAAATTAAACACAGATTCTATAACTTGGATTGCGACATGGAATGCTTTGATCCCTAAAAGCTTTAGGTTCCAAGGGGATCCCCAAAAACAAATTACAGAACGAATTGCTCCACAGGTGACTCCACAGACAAAGGCGGCCTTTTTTCTGTTTTTGGAGTATGTATACTGTTGGTCGCAGATGACCTTTACAGCGTCACCGGGTTTGGGGACGGCGAGATCCTTAGGGGACCTCAAGCCGAGAATTGGCGAGTGCCTCTAGAGATATTCCATTCGGATAGCATCTCCTCATATCGGGAGTCTCCTCTCTGTCTGGAGCCAAGAGGTAGCCTGCAGCCGCGGCCAGCTCGTATTGGTTGATCGTGTTTGAACAGTCTTACATTGCAAACTAATAGAACTGGCCGATAGCCCAGCCGCAGCCACAGGCTGCGTTTGTCTGTGATACTTGCTAGTGGTTTCCCAGGAATATTACGAATTAGAATAACATGCGCAGACGGTAGGAATGTTTTATATAATTATATAAAAAAATTACGTATATAATTACTTTACCATCAGCAGATTTTAGTTGCAATACTGCGGAATTGTCTCAGTGAGTTGACGAGGAAAGAAGAGATGTGCTGATTAGTGCAGTCATTGAAGCATTATTGCTCCGATTTTTTTTACTGTGAACCGAATTGCATACAATTTTGGAATTAGGTTCATCTTACCCTTAACTTCAAAAGTGAAAATGATTTGAACTCCGCAACCACCCTGGGGGTGGTTGCCACCCCTTCTCGGGTGTGAATTTTTTTTTCAAAATAACCTCGGATATAGATAGAAGGCCTAGTTTTAAGCAAAAAATTATCTATAAAGTTTTTCAAAATATCCAATACTTTTAAAGTTCTTGGCAATTGAAAATTCGCAATTTTTTCACGTTTTTCATCGGTTTTTTGCAAATATCTCCAAAAATATACGTTTTATCGAAAATTTTATAAAAACAAAATTGTAGCAGGTAAAACAATGAACAATTTGGTTTTTTATAAAGTATTATAAATGCAATATGAAGCTAGATTAAAGATCAAAGCCGTTTTTTATTGTGTCTGAAATTTAATCTATGTGGTCAATGCCATCTAGCGGCGAGCAGATGCATTTTATGCATGCTAATACAAAAGGGTTTTGTAGTGCTTGAAATAAGCTTTAAAATGAGCACTATTAAAAGTCTTTTGCACGTAAAATAAGTGAGCTGCATAGCAAATAAGGGGAGCATCTAATGTTTTTTGTTTTAAATCAATGGGTTTCATAAGTGCCATTTCCACCAAAATTAAAATGAATCGTATTCCGCCTAGAATTAACTTTATTATAAAGAGTTTGATAGATAGTATCAGCTTGGCTGCTTCAATACACATATTTTTCAAAAAAGTCACGATTAAAAACAAAAACAAAATTACAAATTTTTAAGAAACCCACTTTCTTTTCATAATATCTCAAAAATGACGACAGATACGTATAAAAGTGTACAGATTAAAAATTTAGGTATTTTTCTGACAAACAATTTGGTTTTTTGTTTTTTCTGTCAAACAAAAATTGATGGAGATATGATTGTTTAAAGAGCGCGTGACAGCGCAATCACAGCCTCTTTTAAGCCCTTTAACCCTTCACTGTTTTAGAAAAAGGTTTTTCACTATATATTGCAATAAAGGATGTTGTAGCTCTCTTAATTACCTTTGTAATGATTTTTTATAAATTGTGATAGCATGAAAATTGAAGGAGTTATGGTCCAAAAACTTATCATATTTTTTTCTACTTAGTAACTGAAAATTTCGGAGTGTGAATATTTGGAGCAATGCGAAAGTACGCAGTATAATAGAGACCCACAACTATTGTAATGTGTATATATATACATAATATGGCTCATATATTTTGAAAACGTAGGCATGAATACATACCAACATTCTTATATGTATATATAACACATTTTATCATCATCATCATCATCATTCATCCAACGGATTGGGGGTGGGTCATGAATGACGGTTTATTAAATCCACTTAAGTCTGTAGATCCACCCGCACCACAAGAACTGCTGAAAATGATTTTTTGCAACTGAAAAAAAGGATGTGGAGCGTCTTGCGGATGCAGAAAAGTTGGTCTGTTTTGTAATAGTACCTGTAGAACGTGCAGTGGAGATAACTGCCAAAATAGCCCTCCAATTCAGCCAGAAGATGTTGAATGTGACAGCGACTCCGACATTGAGTCATGAATAATAATATTATATTTTAATAATAATAGTACAATTTTATATAATTAGTAAATATTTTATTCAATAACTGGCAATTTGTTACTCTAAATTAAATTATTTTTAAATATGTAATATATATATATGGGTTGAAAATGATTTTAATATGAGGTAATTATGTTAGAAAATACTTTACAATTTCATCATTTACTATTAGACATATTTTCTAGCGATAAAATGGCTCAATGTACATTTTTCCATTAAGGGGTTGTTTAAAAATAATAGGCGGAGTTCAGATCATTTTCACTTTTGGAGTTAAGGGTAAGATGAGCCCAATTCCAAAATTTCATGCAAATCGGTTCACAGTAAAAAAAATCGGAGGTAAGACCGTATTTTTCGCTTCAATGACTGCACTAGATGTACTTTTCATAGTCGGCACCTTACCTTCTAACACTGGTTCAATTACTTTTGATTCAGTATAAGAGAAGTAGGAATTGAAGCGCCCTTAGGGAAAATCCATGACTGAGGGTTAAAAAATTGTGGCACGTCACATCGATTCTTTTCTCGACTACACTCGACTTATACTAAATTTCAGGTGGAATCGGATGCGATGGGAAAATTTACTCGTATAAAACCTTCATGTGCATATGTGTTTGTATGGTCGTCTGTACATAACGAGTGTGTCATTAGTGATTCGATTAAAAGAGCCATTTGCGGTTAAAGTTGTTTCCGTTCCAGTTAACGGGGCGACCTTTATACTCAGCATCTGCTTACTACTAGGATAATTAAAATACAGCTATATACGACCAATATACAACATTTTCTCAAGCGATTTTTTTTTTTAATTTCATTCACTCATGTTAATGTAAATTTCAACAATTGAAGATATATAAATAGGTATTTGTATAATGTAATGTCTGATTTCTACAAAAATATTGGAATTTACAGTAAAAATATGTGTATCACTAGGTACAAAAAAAGCTGAATAAAATCAAGCATACTTGAGAAAAAACTGGAAATTCTACAGTTACTATGTTAAAAGAAACATATACCTACACTACACATAAATATGAATGTTAAAACTTGATAAAGTTGGACGATTATAAAACGAAATTGGTGGACTGGACATCCGCCTCGCCTTGATGTCAAATTTAATCAATAAAACGTTGGCCGAGTTCGGCCCTGCGGCGTCTGTCAAGGTTCCATAGTCAACATTTATTTAAGAAACTGGAAATAACCACATCAATATATGCCACCTTCTTTTTATGTAAAAAAGTTGGCATACAAGGATATAGGATGCCTGATGATTTACTTACTTACTTACCACTATCAGATCTAATTTTCGTACCAAAATAATGTCAAAAAAGCATGTGGGTCGTCATTTTAATATATAAGCGGCTGTACTGGTAATGCCGCAGCCTAATATTTACTCGTGTTCTTTTCTTAAACTCGTATAATACTTCCTGGACTTCGCCGGCTCAGAAGTGGCGCTGCCTTGCAGCCACAAGGTGATAGGGGTGGCTTGGCGCGTCCATGTGGTCTCGGTACGGTAGCATGGGTAGCGTTGAGGTTTAATGCATCCGCCCAGATAGCGAAAGGAGCCGGTTTCCCGCTCGCCTAACATGTGTGGGTGACGAGTTAAAGAAAAAAATATATATTTATCCTTACCGTGCTCTCTTGTTTGTCGAATGGTGGTGAGAATTGTATCTGGCTCATTTTTGACTCCTTCTCGTCGCTCACTGGCGACGAAGGCGAGGTCTCTCTGTGAACAAGGGAAAATATCATCAGCCTTTCTATATTTATATCTACATAGACATGGGCATCGCCAGCCGATGACCTAGGGGAGGGGGCAATTTCATCTAGCTTCACGCTTGTAGTGTTCTTAACTCAGATGGGATTGGAATTCTAGCGAATTCATTCGAGTTTTCACGCACAGGCTGCATAAATATTAAGTCAGGCAAGCAAGTTAAGTGATTGGGTTAAGTCTCGGTGACGCCCTTGTACACTGGTGTTAAACCTGCATAAGGCGTATTTTATCATGCTAAGTGACAAGAATCAATACTTCGAGACAAATTAATGATTTTGTCTACAGCCAAGCTGTACCCTTAGCACGAACCAATATCGAATTCGAATAGATTTCAAGTGCGAAATGTCATTGTCAAATTTTGTATGCAAACTTGAACAGCAGCGCCACAACGGACGTAACGAGAGCTAAAAATCAGTACAAATTTGACAATGACATTTCGCACTCGCAAACTATTCGAATTCGATATTGGTTAGTGCTAAGGGTACTTCTAAGGGAACTGAAGACAAAATCATTAATATGTCTTGTTTTTAAAGTAGTGCGAATAACTTTATGTATATTTTTTAACAAAATTACACTATACAATTTGCTTAATAGTACAATTTTCTAGAAACGTAACCTTGCTTGATTTAGGTGCATTCTGATCATACAACATTAGCAACTACCTAATTAAATTTGGTTTTAATGCAATCCGGTTCAGATAGCAAGGTTGTCTTTATTTAATGCTGCCAAAGTAACTTTTGTACCTATCGTTATATCTGACCGTTTTTAAATTCTTAAAAAATATGAAAAATATTATCCGATTATATTGAAAACCAATTACATACCTATCTATCAATGAATTAGGGTTATGATAAGGTTTTTTAGTTTTAATACGAATCATTTCAAATTAGGGACACATAAAGAAAACATTCCTCAATCTTTATTGATCTGTACTTGCATTGCGAAACCGGGGCGCATCGCCATTCAAGAATAAAACTAAGATAAACTACTTATTCCATAGTTACATGATTACAAAGTGCATCTCCTGCATTTCACAAAAAAGATTCCAATGGAATAGCATGTCTATGACTCCTAATTTTTTACTTACAAGGCAAAGGCATCAAGTATTCCATGCGCGGACGCATCGCCGTTTTGACATATCGTCCACGGCCACATGGCGAAATGATTACGATAAATTACGCGGGGGGTAACAATCAGAAATGTCGCCGTCTCTTTCCGTTGTACGGGGACCTTGAGCGGTATGACGCGACGGAGGATCTGTGCCGGTTGCGTTCATAGTTTCGTCAAACGACACGCGAAGATTAATTAGGAATCGATACCACTATGCTTTAATGAGGTCGAAATCGATTAAATAACTACATACTAGAAACATTTGTCAGTTATGGGATGTATCAAATGATTAATTTTATCGACATAAGTTTATCTACAGGGGCGAAAAGGCAGACGCCACCTGGATGGTCATGAACATCTGAAATAATAGCTAGAAGCTTTCGCACCACTCTGCAATGACTGAAAAATTAAATCTACCTATACGTTAAGTGGTGGAAAAGACTAGACCACTATCAAACATTAGGTGGGGGGAGTAATCCTACCAAATTATATCAAAAACACTGTTTTGTACATATTTACAGAAGGTTGGTAATTGGTATTCACCCGGCTCGTTGGAACAGTTAGATTTAGGTAATTTTAGGAAGGTGAATCATAAATTTATAGTAGTACAGGCAGGCTACGATCGTTTGCAGCTCCAAAACGTCAAGAATAATGGAAGACCATAAACCACTATTTATATGTATTCTAAAAATGTTTTATTGGTCAACTTATGAAACTGTTTAGGTGATGCGATATTAAGATAATTAATTATAATATAATGCCAAACAATCGGTGGAATGTCAGTAGGAGTGTTATTAAGACAGTCACTGTCAAACCGCGTTTTATTAAATTCACAACAGATTAACGTTAGAAAAGCCTATAATGACAGGTGATGCTCTACAATCTATGCATTAAGGCTGTAATTTTAGTGGAGGAAGTGACAAGGCCGCTGGGCTCGTAGCTACAGACAGCACCAGATATAGTTGTCCAAAACTGTTCAATTTCTCTAAGCAAATTTGGACTCGATCCTCTTTGATATAAGATTTAGAATCTATAAAAAAAACACACTTTGCAGTCTATTTCAATGTGCAACTGATTGTACTTATGGCACGCCACTGACCGCAACCAGTAATATCACCTACTGTTTTATTCATTGAATTCTATTTTAGTAATCTTGTAAGAACATTCTTAAACGAGCTATTGTATCTGTTTAGTGTTATCGACCCTTAAGCTAAAGTATGTAAAAAAGAAAGAATTAATCAACTATTAAAGTGAAAGAATGAACGACCCATATTTAAAAAAAACGTGACAGGCCAGACCCTGGGCGTTAAGAGAGGGGGAGAGAGAAAAGTCAACAGAGTTTTACTAAAACGAACTTTTATTTCAGTAAAAAAGCACTTAGACATACCTCTATATATAATTAAAACTATAATATCATGCTTTACTAGTTTTCAACCTAAATTTTAGTTCATTTATACCCTGTAATCCTGTAAGTTAGTACCTAACAATTAAACTGCAAGATTGATGAAGCAACTATTTACGTTTTAAATTTAGAATATTTAGCTTTTTTTAGACACTGAATAAGAAGATGGTAGTTTTCCTATTGAGTATCTAAATGGTTATTTTGTCTTTATACAAAGAATACTAATTATATGTTAGTCCCACTAGAAACTAAACTATAATTCTATACATACTGGCTCGCGGAAACTGAGAAGTTGTTTTTTCCACACAGCTACTTAGTATATAAACTATATATTTACGTATTTACTGCAACTGTTTACGATTGATTATTATAAAAGGATTTACGACTCCAGAAGACAGAAACTGTCATTAATAATAATTATTCGTCAACCAATAGCAAGCGAGTTGCGACAAAGACAATTATTATTAGCTACAAATAACTTACCCGCTAAGTACAGACAACAACATAATTGAACTCAGATAAAAACATCACTTAAACACAGGTTTTAGTAGAGTGAGAGAAATTAGATACACGGATCTACATCAGTATAGCAGTACGCCATACCAGGAGCGTATTTTGAAATGAACCTGGGTCAATTGCTAATAATTGCACCTTTTCTCACCCCCTCATCATCATCAGCCTTTTAATGTCCCCAATGCTGGGGCACAGGCCTTCCCTATGGATGGAATATGGCCACCACGCAGGCCCAGTACAGATTGGTGGGTGCTAACGACTGCAGATGCAGCCGGGACCAACAGCTTAACGTGCATTCCGAAGCAAGGAGGAGCTCAAGATAGTAAATTTTTGGTCACCCATCCAATGACCGACCATTGCGAAAGATTTTTAACTTCAACGATCGCAGCCGAACGTGCTACCCACTTGCGCCATCGAGCTCCCTTCTCCCCCTAGAATTAGTAAATCAAATTTTAATATAGGACAGTAAATAATGCCTTTATATGGCTTCTGCCGCCCCTCGCAGCCGCCCCGGGCCATGGTCCTTTTGGACTTAGGGTAAATGCGCCCCCGGCCATACCTTTCACATTTCAAGTCATATTCTTATTTTATCACTTAAAAAAAGGGAGAGAAAGAGCACTACCATTAATCTCAATCAAAGATAAAGAAAGACACCCACCCACTTCTGAAGGGTTTTTCTTTATTCTAAAATAATGATCAAAAATGCAACCTTTATATAATGTGGAATATACAATAATTGTGCATCTGCATTTGGATTGCTATGTAAAACAACGAACGCTTGCGATACCGCATCGTAGGTTTCACTCGCGCGTTCTGGCGCCGCTGACTTTCATCTCAATCTCGTGGGCCCTTGGAAACGAGCTCCCTTCTCCCCCTAGAATTAGTAAATCAAATTTTAATATAGGACAGTAAATAATGCCTTTATATGGCCTATGCCGCCCCTCGCAGCCGCCCCGGGCCATGGTCCTTTTGGACTTAGGGTAAATACGCCCCTGGCCATACCTTTCACATTTCAAGTCATATTCTTATTTTATCACTTAAAAAAAGGGAGAGAAAGAGCACTACCATTAATCTCAATCAAAGATAAAGAAAGACACCCACCCACTTCTGAAGGGTTTTTCTTTATTCTAAAATAATGATCAAAAATGCAACCTTTATATAATGTGGAATATACAATAATTGTGCATCTGCATTTGGATTGCTATGTAAAACAACGAACGCTTGCGATACCGCATCGTAGGTTTCACTCGCGCGTTCTGGCGCAGCTGACTTTCATCTCAATCTCGTGGGCCCTTGGAAACTTACTGAAGGACAGAAACCACATAACCCCATAAGTTTATTAAGCGATTCTACAACCTACGAGTATAAACTGACCATCATGACCATAGAACTTCTATAAATAATGAAAATAATTTAACTTAAAACTTGAGATTAAAACTACAGTTCCGAATAATGACGATAATTAATGGCACCCATTAAATGATTTGACGTGTACAACTAAAATAATTTATGTACATTATTGTAATGAACAAATTAGGAGACTGACATTTTATTAGAAATAAATAAAAAAAATATCCTCTCTACACTCTAAAGAGTGTCTGTTGCTATAGAAAGATTGCGTCAAGGAATTACATGTGTGTCATTGAATAATTTCAATCTCTGAATCAATATTGAATAACCTGTTCCTTGTTGGCACGAATATAATATAGAGAATTTTCAAATAAGGACTTTTTCAACACATTTGCTCAAAAAACGCATTTACGGAGGAATTCAAAATTACGGGCCATACAGCGGAGCGTGCGGTAAAAATTCAATACGCATGCTCCCATACATGGCACCGTGCGTATTCTTTACGGTTTTTTTTTATTTCGGTTGAATCACACTAATCTAATCGGCGCTGCGGGTTAGAGTGAGAGAGAGGAGGATTATC